TTTTAATGTCATAATTATGATTAACTCATAATTTCAATAATGTATTCACACAGAATATATATATTTATTTTTTAAATCTCAATTTCAATTTATAACACGTACGCATGCACGCGCGCACACACATATATATATCTAAATTAGGTTTAATATTTTTTCGATATTTTTCAATATCGACATTATAATTATTATTCATAAAGCTACAGTGATTCTGCTACATCTAAAGGGGTGTATGCTTTGCTACATCTTGTGTCATGCCAAACAACACACAATCAGCACTGACTGTAATGCACAAACTTAAGTGGTGTTTCACCTTTTTGAGTGGCGGCTGGAATAAATCCGAATCTCTGGAGTTCCCATCAGTGCTGCTGGTCTCACTGGCTTGATCGCTGGGAGCTTCCCTAAATATCACACACACACAGAGAGAATATTATATCTGTGACACATGCAAACACAAACACACACACTCCGCTGTTCACACACTTACGCTTTGCGTAGGCCGGCCGCCAGCACCATGGCACTGTGGTGGTTGAAGCGTTTGATTATGGCAGAGTTGCTGTTCTCTCTCAGTGATTTGTTTGATGAGTTTGATGTAGTGGGAACGGTAGCTGTGCCGTAACCCTTCAGAGACACAGAGACATCCAGTGTCAACAAACCATTCAATAATTGTGATTCAAAGTTTAACAGCCCTCACCTCATCTAAAGTTTTATCCTCGAGAGAAAGCAGATCCACCATGGGGTTCTTCACTCCCTGGGTCACCATTGATTTCAGGCCTGAAAAATGCGAAGAAACAAACTCCATCAGAACAGAAAGACACATAAGAGCCATTAAACATGGTCAGCTCAAGTCAATAGTGCATGGAAGACTTTATTAAATAAAGACTTCATAAAACGCAGTACCCTTCTCGTCCTCTTTGGCACACTCTGAGAAGATGTCCTGCAGGCCTGTGTTGATCCGGTCTCTGTGGAAGTAATGAGACTGAAAGAACCGCGTCCAGAACTCCTTCTCCGTCATGTTGTGAGGAACATTCTCAGCGTATTTCTGCTTGACTGTGAGCAGAAAAGGCTCATATTCAATACTTTTAGAGCATTTGATTTGTCCTTATTATATTAGTCAGTGTTTCTTGCACAAAGCACACGAAGTGTTTCATCACCTAAAACCATTAAGACATTTTTTGTGACCTAAAACAGGGTATTGTACCTTTAAGACTACTAAATGTAAATGACTCTTGTTATGATAGATCTGACCATCTTTTGGTCAAATACGAACAACATTACATGTATTCTCTGTGGAGAAGAGAATACTAGAATTATACATTTCTGCAACGTAAGAGAACAATTTGGTAGATCATAATTATCAGTGTTAAAAGTCATAGTTATTAAATAAAGGTCATATTAAATTATGACTTACTAAGCCATAGAAATTATGAGATACTAGTTAAACAAATCATAATTATATCATAAAGGTTAAAATTATGAAACAAAAACAATTATGAGAAATAAACTTAAATATAAACTTTAAAACTAAAAAATATATATATATACAATTATGAGATAAAAATCATTATGACATTAGATGAAATTATGAGATAAATCATAATTATGACATGAAAGTTGAAATTGTGATATAAATTATGAGATTAAAAAGTTGAAACTGAGATCAAAATTAAATTAAAAGTCATAATTATGAGATAAAAGTCAAAATCAGGAAAATTATGAGATAAAAAGTCATAATTATGAGATAGAAAGTAATTACGACATAAAAAGTTGAAACTATGACAAAAAAAAACTATACAACATTTATGTCATATTTATGAATTTTTATCTGATATTTATGATTTACCTAAGCATGATTGTTCTATATGGTTTTTAAATGGTGGAAACGGGCTTCCATTCAAAATGCAATGTAACAAGATGTTCGATTAAGGGAGAGAAAAGTAATTATTTCAATACAGAAAGTTATCAATAACAAGCATTATGCATTTTTATGCTTAATAGAGTATCACACAGTGAGCTTAGCCAAATGCTAGTGCCAAAACATCTCATGATCAATCGTGAATCCGGCTTATGTAGGTTCTTCTAAATCTGTCACTTATGAGGATCCATATCAGTTAGGGTGCCACCTTAGAAGAAGACAGACAGTAGACAACAAGGCAGCACACTAGGGTTTGGAACAGACCCATTTCGAACGATTATAGTGGTAGTTTGAGTAAGATCATAATCACATTTCTCACCTGTAGGGTAAGTTCTGAAGATCGACTCGATGATGTCTGTGGTCAGATTGTAGCGCAGGCCGTTGCAGCCATCCGTCTGCGGTCTGATGTCGGCCTGTAACCACGGTGACAACATGATCACGGGGTGAGTTTACATTGTAAGTGCTTTCAATAAACTGTCCGTCTCATGATGCATTTGAACTCACCAGGAAGGCAGCAGAAATGCCCACTTCCTGTTTGTTGTTGTTGGAGAGGGAGTGCTCCACAGAATTCAGGCTCAGCCGATTGGCCCAGAACTCCTCAGCACTGATCACCTGACTCACTACTAAGTCCTTATAGAGCTGGAACAGAACAGGATCTTCCTGCAACATCCTGGAACATAAAACATCCGCTGGAGGTCAGCTAATACCAATACAGAGAGAGCCAGGTGGCCAGTTTGCCAATATGTGACCCTGGAGCACAAAACCAGTCATAAGTGTCAATTTTTCAAAATTGAGATTTATACATCATAAGAAAGCTGAATAAATGAGCTTTCCATTGATGTATGGTTTGTTAGGATCGGACAATATTTGGTCGAGATACATCTATTTGAAAATCTGGAATCTGAGGGTGCAAAAAAAATCTAAATATTGAGAAAATCATCTTTAAAGTTGTCCAAATGAAGTTCTTAGCAATGCATATTAAGTTTTGATATATTTACGGTAGGAAATTTACAAAATATCTTCATGGAACATGATCTTTACTTAATATCCTAATGATTTTTGGCATAAAAGAAAAATGGATAATTTTGACCCATACAATGTATTGTTGGCTATTGCTACAAATATCCCCCAGCGACTTAACACTGCTTTTGTGCTGCAGGAACACATATTATAGTAAAATATGTCAGAATTGAATGATGGCAAGTGATATACAATCAAACTCACCTGTTCTTCTCCTCCAGCTCTTTATTGGCTTTCTTCTTGAACTTGGGCAGGAGCTGCTGCAGGAGTTCTTTGGCGACGTCTCTGTCCTTCAGTGCTGTGCTCTCATTGGAGAAATGAAAGGTGGTGCTTTCTCCCGTGTGCAGAACCAACTGAAGCTGGATCTTCGCCTTACCATCAGGACTGATCTTCTGACCTGCATATGAGAAAAACAAAAGCTTTAGGATCACATTACTAACTTTGATTTAAAGCAGAAAAATGTTTTATGTTTGATTTGAACACACTCACTCACTCACTCACACACACTCACACTCTCACATACTGTATGTATTAATTAAATACCTTTTCTATTTTAAAATGTAATTTATTCCTGCTGTATACTTTGATTTAAAGCAGAAAAATGTTTTATGTTTGATTTGAACACACTCACTCACACACACACTCACACATACTGTATGTATTAATTAAATACCTTTTCTATTTTAAAATGTAATGTATTTCTGTGATGCGCAGCTGTATTTTCAGCATCATTACTCCAGTCTTCAGTGTCACATGATCTTCAGAAATCAGTATAATATGCTGCTCAAGAAACATTTCTGATTATTATCAGTGTTGAAAACAGTTGTGCTGCTTCATATTTCTGTGGAAACCGTGATAACATGTTTTTCAGGATTCACAGATGAATAGAAAGTTTAAAAGAACAGCATTTATTTGCCATAGAAATTTACATTATAAAGGTCTTTGCTGTCACTTTTGATCAATTTAATGCATCCTTGAAGAATAAAAGTATTAATAGAAGTGTTACATAGATAGATATAATATAACGAACATAACATTAACAATATTATATATTACTATAATGCAAAATATTGCCTTATTTGTAATATATATTAATTTATATATAAACAAGCTGTTTTTGAATAATTTTTTTTACAGTTCTTAATAGGAGTGAGCAGAAACTGCTGAGCTCTTTTGCCACAGATTTCATTTCCATGGGAACAGTGACTACTGAACATGATTTTTAGTCTGACTTGTTTCTACATTAGCATCACTGAACAAGCTCAGAGCTCATGGTAGGTCTGTCTTGAGGGTGACCTACTGTTACTGATGACAGCTTCTCCAATCTCAGAAAGTTCAACGCGGGATTCGTAAACCGGTTATCTTTGAAAGATGCATATTAGGTCAGTGCCCAGTTTGTTTTGAACAGTTTGCTCCTCCGAATCACAACCAGTAAGTATGATTATAGTTCTGCTAATCAGCTGTGGGCCCGCTATTGTCTAGAAATGTGTCGATTAATATAGATTGTCTGTTGTACTTGGCGTCATGATAAAGCATGGAGCAATACGTTGGTTTACATAAAAACTGCAGTACTTTATCAGTACTCTGTGTTCGGCTAACACATATACCATTAATGTTTGGGTCTTTACTAGCAAGCCGTGGGTCCAGTTCGCTACATTGTTGCGTGATTTTTCCTTTTTAGAACAGAGTGGAGCACCATTATTATTATAATAGGATGAATTATTGATAAGCCGTATTCCAGTACTGATGATGGGCGGTCCGTTTCCGACATGCGCTGTACGCAGTAGACCAATCACAACAGACTGGGTCATCGGACCAATCAGAGCAGAGTAACATTATGCAAAGGAGGGGTTTGGAAAGATGAATCTTCAAACGAATCGTTGAGAAATGACGTAAAATTAAATGCATATTATAAGAAAATGAAAGTGTTTTTGACCTTGCATGCATGTAAGCCTGTTTTTGGGGACTCCCAAACCAAATTATAAACATTTCAAATAGCATTTCACTTTAATTAGGGTTGAATCTAAACTCTGCAGGGCTCCGGCCCTCCAGGAACTGAGTTTGATACCCCAGCTCCACACCAGCGAAACCCACATGAGGGTGTAGAGGCGGGAATCTGAGTGAAACTCACAGCGGATGTCGGCATACAGGTGGCTGACGGTGAAGCGGTCCTTCCCTTCCGGACCCCAGGCGATCCGCTCAGCCATCAGATACAGAGTCCCGTCCTGCTTCCTCTGACGGACCCTCTTCACCACCAACAACACCTCCTCGGACAGAGACGCCATCGCTACCGAAAGAAAGGGAAGAATCTGATTAATCATATGTAGAGGCGGGAATCTGAGTGAAACTCACAGCGGATGTCGGCATACAGGTGGCTGACGGTGAAGCGGTCCTTCCCTTCCGGACCCCAGGCGATCCGCTCAGCCATCAGATACAGAGTCCCGTCCTGCTTCCTCTGACGGACCCTCTTCACCACCAACAACACCTCCTCGGACAGAGACGCCATGGCTACAGAAAGAAAGGGAAGAATCTGATTAATCATGCAGGACATTGAGATCAGAGATTTATAGACAGATTCATCACATCATTTAAAAACCCGTTAGAAACTTAGGCAGGGCTGTGAAGAAGGGTGTGGAGTTCACAGCCCTCAAAAACCATAAAAAACATGCAGAAAAAAGACATCACGTCAAGAAGATCAGATTCAGAACCGATGTCAAATCATATCCATATCAGATATGACAGCAGATTCAGATCAGACTCAGAATTTAAATGCAATCAGATTCGGATCAGGATCAGATATGATATATTTAATATATATTAAATCATATTCTGAATCATAACAGAAGAGATATTAAATATGGATATGATTCAGATGAAACCCCAATTAGGATCCGATCAGATTCAGAATCAGTTTAAGACCTGATAAATGCAATCAGATTCGGATCAGGATCAGATATGATATATTTAATATATATTAAATCATATTCTGAATCAGAACAGAAGAGATATTAAATATGGATATGATTCAGATGAAACCCCAATTAGGATCCGATCAGATTCAGAATCAGTTTAAGACCTGCTATTAAATCATACTCTGAATCAGGACAGAGCAGACATTAAATCAGACATAACTATAAATTCAGATCAGACTCAGAATTTAAATGCAATCAGATTCGGATCAGGATCAGATATGATATATTTAATATATATTAAATCATATTCTGAATCATAACAGAAGAGATATTAAATATGGATATGATTCAGATGAAACCCCAATTAGGATCCGATCAGATTCAGAATCAGTTTAAGACCTGCTATTAAATCATACTCTGAATCAGGACAGAGCAGACATTAAATCAGACATAACTATAAATTCAGATCAGACTCAGAATAGAAATTAAACCAGATTCGGTTCAGATCAGATATGGCTAACAGCACTAGCACACATCACCTATTCTTCCCAAAAACCTTTACTAAAGTCAATAAACCGAGACTCAGTTTTTGTAAAAATAAAGACCCTAAACTACTGGTTCTTAATGAAAGAGACATTTCAAACACAACATTTTAAACACATTTAAAGGTGATGAAGCTGAACTCATGCACACAGCCGGCGACTTTCATTAAAGTGCTTTATTTCAATACAATAACCCCTCACCTGGCGCTCCAAGGCTGCTGAAGCCGAAGCCTCAATGTTGATCGTGCGGTAAGCGGAGTGAAATCAGTGTAAATTATAGTATTTGTGTGTTATTTACGGTCGAAAGTGACAGCAGCTCTCAGATCCGCCATGGAAACAGAGCGAAGCCGGAAGCCGTGCCGCGCTTCCGGTTACAAAACGGGACGGATTTCAAAATTAAAGTTCTGTATATGCTCAATGGATTCAGGTTTTATGATATAATATAAAATAATATGATGTAATACGATATAATATGAAACGCACTGTATTTCAGTCATAAAACTTTTATTATAGATTGTATTTTATTTTTAATCGCAACGTGAGTTTTATTTTGACAGAAGACACATGGCGTTCCTGATGGAACTTAACTGTGTGTAAGCGCGTGCGCTCTTTATGATAGCTCAATGCATTGGTTTGGCTTCGGATTCAATGGCTTTGGTCAGATTAGCCCGGCAGATGTGAGCGGACAGATTGTGAAGTGTGAAGTGAACACACCAGTCCTGCTATCAGAGATGTGTAGAGCGTGTGTGATCAGATCAGACTGTAGAGTCAGAGGCAGCTGGAGCTCCAGAGCTGATGTGCATCACTCAGACTGTAAGTAAACTATGAGTAACTAAATTATTTGCTTAATGATTAAAATTATTTCTAAGCTTACTATTTTTCAATTTACATAGCTTACAATATTAGTCACATAGTTTCTAATCTATAATAAAATCATAATAAAATAATGTACATTATATATATATATATATATATATATATGTGTGTGTGTATATATATATTAGACAGTATATATAATTATATATATTAACTATGAGTAACAAAATATTTTAAAATCTTGTTTCCTTTAATATATATTTTTATATTGTTTTTCTACAATATTAGCCACTCACACACAGGTTTGTTTTTATGGTTTATGGGGACTCTCCATAGGCGTAATGGTTTTTATACTGTACAGACCGTATTTTCTATTGCCCTACACCACATACACTCTCACTCACTCACACTCACACACACACACTCACTCACTCACTCACACTCACTCACTCACACTCACACACACACACACTCACACACACACTCTCACTCACACACACACACACTCATTTATATTGTTTCCTACAATATGTCACGTTTACTATTTCTAAAGTATAATGAGTTAATACAAAAAAAACTTTTTTTGACAAACAGTATGCATTTTGTTTAATGTTACAAACAACATACATTTGGACTTTTTTAATATTTGAATGTATATTTATATATATATATATATTTGTAATCCAGGTAAATATTGGTTTCAGGTGGCAGTCATGTGTGTGTGTCAGGGTTCGTGTCTGGTTCATCAGAGGTTTGCGGAGGCATTTTTCCCGAGAGTCTGGGCTGCAC